TTTACAGGAAATTCAGCTTATCTTGAAGAGATTTTCTCTTTACATATTTCTTTACAATGTCCCACTTCTTCTTTTCTGTGGTTAGTATCCGCACAGTCCACATCAACAAAAATGAAATATATAAATAATACATAAAATAAATACATTTTGTATGCTTTCAGACTAGGGAAGAAAAACATGTGAACACTGCAAAAAATTATTCTTACTTTCCTGGATTAGCAAATCATGTCTTAGCAATGCAATGCATACAATCATGCAGATATAAGTCAGAAGCTTCAGTTATTGTTCCCATCGAACACCAGAAAGGGGAAAAATGCGATCTCAGTGTTTTTAACCCTGGCATGGTTGCTGGTGCCAGAAGGGTTGTTATGAGTAGGGCCGGACTGGCTATTGGGCATACCGGGCACTTGCCGGTAGACCAGGCCGAACACAATCAGCCTGATTTTGTTCGGTCCGGCTTGGCCCGACTCGGCCCGCTATGCCTGATGGCCAGCTCTGAGAGCTCTATTTATCAGAGATACAGAGCAGCCAGGCATAACAGACAGAGGGGAGCCGCTCCACCCCCATAACTCGCTCGGCGAGGTAAGTAAGAAAAAAAAAATATAGCGCAAGCTTCGGCGCTAGGCATCGGGGCATTTTGACAAGTACAAGTAGGTTAGGCAGGTTAAATGATTGGTAGTACATGATACAAGTACTTGTCAATATGCCCTGCATCGGGCCCGATTCTGATGCTAGCATTGGTATCAGGACATCCCTACTACAGACACTGAGCAGTGACCTGAGCTCCACCCCCCATGCTGGACACAAAGGGGGGAATGTGGGGGGGTCATGGCACAGGAACCAGACTGAGGACTCATGGGCCAGACGGAGGGGAGACGCAGGGGCCAGCCTGAAGGGACACAGGAGCCACACTGAGGACTCACGGGCCAGACTGAGTGGACACACAGGGTTCAGAATGAGGAGAGACACAGGGGCCAGACTGAGGGAAGACACAGGCAGGGCCGCCATCACTGGGGTACAACTGATACCCATGTCAG